GGGAACCTCTTGCCCCGAACTACTTCCGCGCGCATTATTGCGCGGTCCGTTCGGTACGCGTGATCCATTCAAAAGCTTTAATCCCATCGCCACTGCTTTTCACTTAATTGCTTTTTCCATGTTACTCGCAGGAATTATTACGTTAACTTCTCCGCGTTAAACAAGAAGAGAGTCGATGATGCAGAATAATCACGGCGTAAAAAGAAGTAGAGTTAATGAACTTTCGAACTATCCAAATCTCTTTCTGTGCTTATGACGCATGCACTTTTGTTCGCGGACTAGTGTTCACAATTTCTAGTTTTCTATCAATGTCAGCTTTTTTTGTCGATTTGACCAGGACGCGCGTGCCCACACGAATTCGTGTCTGTCGGGCCAGCCGATATAGCCTGAAAAAGAATCATGTCGTATAAATGTCATGGTGTATGCGATTTAATGTACCAGTGAGATAAAATTCCGACTAAAGAGAGCGTTTAGACATTTGTCGAGAGAGCGTTTGAAAAATTTATTTTTCGTGCGGAGCGCATGCCGTTTCATAGCGATAAAGCCACGCGCGTAGCTTACAAGATAAAGCGAATGTGAATTTGACGCATCCATATTCGTCGGAGTTTTCGTAGAATCGTTACAAACCGTTGAAATAGCCAGCTTGGAAAATATTTCCTTTTAGAACGGTCAGCATTCGTCCGATGTGGAACGACATTTTTATTTGTGTGTAGAAAAAAAAATAAAAAAGATATAGAAAACGCGTTCCGAATAGGCTGATAGCGTTACCGTCAGTTCCACCATTCTATGTGCTCGGTTTCTCATTCACGTATTACTTTCAGCTGTTGAATTTGATTAATTGGAACAACATTCCGGAACGCGAGAAAGTGCAATGTAAACTGAAACGCAGAACGTAGCGAGAGCCGGCGCGAAAACAATTTTTCTAAATATCTCATGACGGTTTACTTGCACATATTGTTAAGTTCACAAAAAACAATTCCACATGGTATACGTAAATGTTTTGCTTCGATCCATTTTTACGGCGAGTAAGTTGCCGAGATAAACATAGCGTTGCATTGATTACCGAGTATGCAATAGGCAAGAAATTAATATCGAATATACGTCAGTTCATAATGTCGTAATATTTTTACATCAGTTCATACTTAATTACATCAGTTCATATTTAAGATTTAATATTCAAATAAAAAAGAAACTTAGACAAAAATAGAAAAAATAAGAAATAGAAAAAAATTATTAGTAAATTAGTGGATAAATATTGAATATCAAAATTAAGGCTGTAATTTATAAAGTAATGGAAATTTCTAATTTCTCACTTATCTTTCTAATTTCTTATTTAATTTCTTATCGAAGATACTAGATGATTTTGATAAAAGCCTGTTAATTTAGTGATCTAATAATAAAAGCGAATAAGAGAAAGATAAATGCCTTAAATGGCTTTAGAGAGTCGCTTCAAATGCTTATACCATTATAGGTACAAAGGAAAACTGTGGAAACAAAAAAAATATAGCATAAATAAATTTTTATAAAATTTTAATGAATTATATAACGCAAAAGAGATGATGATATATTTTTTGTATGCAGAACAATTAGGACTCTTAATACATAATTTTATTGTTTATACAAAAGCATTTTCTTTTTTAAAAAATATGTGCATATATCGATATGTCATATAAACATATATCATCAAATCACATAAATATTTTTAGCATATGTAATCATTACATAATTACAGTATCAGTGTGTATAAGTGTATAATAATTACCATTTACACAATTTATAGTATATATAAATATATTCATGAATCATCCTCTCTTCCTCTCTTTCTTTCTCCCTTCCTCTCCCTTTTTCCTTCTCTCTCTTCTCTTAAGAGAAAGAGAAGGGGAGAGGAAATGAAGAAGGGAGAAGCTTTTCTTTTTCTTGATGCACATTAATTGTTTCATATAACATAATTTATAGAATATAATAATGACAATTTTT